GGAATGGGATGTTATCTCCCTTATGGGCATTGTGCTAGGCACTCAGTTTCAGAGTCACCACATTGTTGTTTCCATGAGATGTGCTGGAAGAATCCAATGTCAAATATAGTTGTGATAACTTTTGTGGGGGAACCTGTGCCATCTCAGTTCCAATAAAAGGTTGACAGTGGACAATCCCATGATTGTTATGTGAAATTAAGACATTAGTATTCTGAAGAAGATATTGTCGAAAATCTGAATATCATTTACAAGGACTAGGAGCAGTGTTTCAAAAAACGCTGGGCGGCGCCAATAGAAAGAAAAGTTGTTTTAAGGGTCATATTTTGTTTTAATAATTAAAAAATATATGATGAGGCATGTTGTACAAGTTAACACATCACTTCATTATCAAGAAAATGAAAGAAAATAAGGAATAGCAGCATAACACATAAAAGTTAGGGGCAGATCAAATTTCTATAGTCCACAAGTGCACATAGCACATACACTCTTCTGTAAAAAATTTATCTCCTCTCTAATAGCATTAGAAACTTTTTTACATGGGGCAACATCCCCATGATACCAGCAAGATGTTTCTTAAACCGGTTTATGCCTCCATTTGTATCATTTTCACAATAATTGTATCTTATGCAATTTTTATCCATAATTCGGGTTATCGTCATATTTCCAACCCTGATCACCAGTTCGATTAGATCCCGAAGAAGACATCTCAAAATAATACAAGCAATCTAAAAAAAAAAAGATTTTTACTAACTTTGATTTCTCGATCTCCAAACTTCCACCTCTAAAATGTTTTCAAAGTCAAAATCTTCTAAAATAAATCCTCTAAATAGACTTATTAAACTTCCAAAACTAAATCTAATCTCAATGGGGATATGTTTTAATCGAATTCTCGTAACTTTGAGAAACCCTTCGATCCTATGGAAATCACAAAAATTAGTTTTTTGAGGTTTTTCTCTCTCTAAAACAATCTCTAATGGGGTTTAGGTGTCAAATGAACCCACCCTTATCCCCTTTTTTTATTAAAGAAAGACCCAAAAATACCTCTCAACATGGGGCATTTTCGCCCCTGGGCAGGATGCAAGCCCTGGGCAGCCACCAAGGGTTGGGCATTGGGCGCCCGCCTAGGTGGGCTCCCCATCATCTAGGCGGCCACCTAGGGGTAGGCTGCCTAGGCCTAGGCAAGGCTCCCAAGCCCTCTGGACTGCTTAGGCATTGGGTGGTCCGTCTTTTAGAACGTTGACCAAGATAGTGGCATTATTATTAGATGATTGCAAACAGACAAAAAATAGTTTATTGCAAACTGGCTGAATAATGGTGTACCTCTAAATCTCTCAATATATGCTTGAGGACGTGTTTGAAATAATGACGTTTAAGAATGGGCTTAAAGCTAGGTGATCAAGGTGGTGGGGCACCACAACATGACATCTTGAGTTCCATTCCTATCATGAGCAATGGACCTCTTTGCCGCTGTATTACCCCAAAATTAAAGAAAGGAGAGAATGACATTTGGTAAGATAGCCAGTGGAAGTCATGCACACCTTCACATTGAGGTGCTAATGAATGCCAGTATTCACCTCGATTCAAAGTAACTACCACTTTTGCGTAGCCACAAGAACTTTGTGTACTGACAGTGGTCAATTGGCTAAATATTGTGGAGGTCTCACAATCAATCACATACTTCTATGAGTCCTCTTAGAGACAAGCCCAATTGTTTTGGAATCTATGGTCCCCTTGAGTCTTGTTGCTGTAGACCCACTTGCAGCCGACCCCATACTTTCCTAGGTGTAGATCCTCAATAACCAAAGTATGAATTCTGTGAAGAAAACTGTTTTTTTGGAATGTTTGCTTCTTTTTTGGGAAATGCATGTTTTTCACAATGCATTTACTGGAATCTTGTCTTGGTGCAAATTATTGGGGAGGTCTAGAAATGGTGCTCTGTCAAGAAAAAGAAGGCGAGAAGCAAAGATTCATTTTGATTAAGCTTTTCTTCTTCTTCTTCTTTTGTTTTATGGGCGTGTTGGGGTGGTGGGGCAGGTGTCTTGATTCTCAAATAAGTTTTTAGGTCAGAGGTAGACAAGGAAGAATCTAGAAGGCACTTCCTTATAAGAGAATTAAAGCATGCATAGCATAAGGCTTAGAGTCAGTGGAAGCTGAATTGATTTGAAGATTTGCCAATGGTACTTCCTAGTAATAGAAAAGGATTCACTAGAAGGATCCCTGCTCTTGTAACCTTATTAAAAAGGTACATAGCCACCATATATGTATCCAGCTAATGATTACATCATTTATCATTTAGGTGGAAGAGCAAAATAGAAGCATCAAATTACTCTTAGCTTGAGACTGTTAGGATATTCTTGAGTCAATAACTAACAAGAGAGGTAGGTTTGCAAGAGCAGACTTTTAGTCCATTAATTTTCAATTGAAAGAATCTTAAATATTGGTGGGTATGCACTTGAGTGGTACTGTCTTCTTATTTTGACAGAAATTTGATTTCAGTAACATGTTGGGTGGTTGTCATTTAGTAAAACTCTCTAAAAAGTTAGACTACCAGTTTTTGTTGCATTTAGTAAAACCAGATATATATATAGAAAGTTCTCAATAATGTAAATTTAAATATTAAAAGGTAACCTTGGGCATAGCTTTGGATGGTTTCCATGCATCCAACACTACAACTTCAAAATATGATTTACTTTTAAGAAATCATGATTGAAAAGGAATAGCAGTGATTCTGTTAGACATGCATGCATACACTTAAGGAAATCATTGTTAGCAGTCAAGAACTGTTATTACAATTACAAGTAAAACAGTTTTATGAAAGCATGCAGCACAAAATTAGTATGTCTTCAATCCTTCAATAAAAGCCCTGACAAATTGTCTTGTGACACATGTTTTGGTTGAAATCCTGATTAACTGAACTAATTTAAACAGTAATGTGCACAAGATTTCAGGTATCATCTGCAGATAAAGTTCGTGAACTAATGAACTAATGGATAAATTTATGGTTTCTCTTGAATAATCATGATTGATGATTATTAGATATTTTATGTGATGAATGTCAACATTTACCTAAATAAGTTGGAGTTTCCAACTTCCAAACCAATGACTGGAAATAAGAGTCAACTTGCTTTTTTCCCAGAAACAGTAGTTGTCATCAGTGGTTGTTCTTTCCAAATTTTAGGGACATTGCTTGAAATTAAAAAAGTGAATGTCTTATTTTTGGCAAGATTAAGGTTCCGGTGTTGCCAAATGTTCTGAAAACACTTTCCTTCCCTTATTCCTTGATGGAATTTCTTTTGATTGGTGATGATTATGCGTTACATTTATTTTAAGACAAGCATTACATCATTGTATGTATCATTATCATGACATAGAAGAAGATAAAAGCAATATAAAACACTCTTCAATAAGGGTTGTGCAAGGTAATCCAAGAATGAGCTTGACATTGCCACTTAACTTTTTGTGTGAATCCATGAGCTCATTGGCTGCCACAAAACATGGGGAAAGGACATGGAAAAACTCTCTAGTCTCATAGATCCCTTCCATGATACCAGAGTTCTCCAATGGGCTTTACTCATGTATTTTAGCCATTTATTGATCTTCACAAAATACCCTCTCATGGTGCTTTGAGAAATAACAGAGAATGCTCTAAGCCCCATGAGCAATGCTCTTGCCTCTGATCTGATAGTATCTCAGATCTCTCTAGGACTACTAACAAAGGCCTTGAGCAGGGTTGCTTGGATTAACTGCTTTTGAAATTCAACCCAAAGGAACCTCAACAATTGCCCATTCCCTCACTATTAAGACCTCCGTATATATAATATTTCTTCAACAACATAAAATTCTCTATCTTTGTGCTTGGAACTCATATCTCAGCTAAAATATGAGTTGATTGAAGATATCTTGATTTCTCAAATTGACTCATCTAAGTATCTTGTTAGTCCTGTCCCTCCAAATTCTCCAAAATGCTTTCTAAATGATACAACCTTGTGCAATCGGAGGATAGGGTGGGGGGTGGAAACCCTATGACCAGCCTTAGAGGTTTCTTTTTTTAAAAAGTGATATCGTCTATGGCATCAGGTATTAAATTCTGAACAGCTGGAGATGCTGACAGTTTCTTCATTGTTCCTGCACATTATACTTAAGTGCGAGGCTTGAGTCCCTTGTGCTGAGAAGGACGATGGGGATGCAGGGTAATACCAAACCAAATTTAGTTGGGAAGGAAACCCCTCAGGATAAGTAAGTGGGTGTTTAGAACGGCTCGGCTGAAAAAGGTGCCCCGACTATCATGTGGGCAAGGTAAATTAAATGGATACTGCTTCTGATTTTTTTTTTTTGATAACTGATACTGCTTCTGATCAAAGGTAATTCAAGTATGGAGTGGATGGCATTGACTGCAAAGTTGGTGGTCTTTGATCAATGCAGAATATATATGTTCTATTGCTGTGGTAGGTCTGTCTGATGTGCGATCATAAGGAAGGTGTAAACGTTTATTGCAAATTTTTTGACTAAAATTTTTATACTTGGTTCAGAATAGATGCCAAGTCTTTTACATGAATGGCAAATAAAATGGAGTGCCTCTGATTAGTAATTTAGTTATTAAGATGTTTGTATATTGTTGAACACAAATTATTGTTTTTCATTTGTGAACACAGTGTAGATGATTTTGTTTCTCTCAATTGATTAGTTTTTCATTTTGGTGCAATCTATCTGAAATTTTTAACTAATGCAGCTTGATTTTCACCAGTCTAGTGATTCCCGATCATGAAATATATTATGTTAATAATTTTGCTTGATTCATATGGTGAGTAATTGATTATATTTTGGGTCATAAAACCAGCATATGGAGATGGAGGCTTCTTTTCTAAGATCTTGGCTCTCTTAATCAACTAGAATAGTGTGGTGGCATTGCTCTTTACAAGGTTTTAATCTCATAATTTATTTCTGACTGTGCCAAGTCTGCAAATGTTGGTTTCCATTTTGATTTGCTTTTATGGATTCAGCATCATTGTCGAAGATGTGGAGGCTTGTTCTGCAACAACTGCACCCTGCAGAGAATGGTTCTCAGGGGGCAAGGTGATTCTCCAGTGAGAATCTGTGATCCCTGTAAAACACTTGAGGATGCAACACGTTTTGAACTTCGTTCTGGACACCGGTATCGAGCTGGTAAAGGTACATTTCATCCTGCAGTTCTGTCACTATTATGTGAATATTAAATGGCCCTTTGACTATTTTCAAGATCTTTTTATATTTATAATGATTAAACTTCTGTTTGTTCTATCCAGCTCTTAGGACAAATCATCTCATATCATCCTTAAGCAGAAGTTTTACTTCTGACTTAATTGCTTCTTTGTTTACAATTAACAGACATAGAAGTGATTTTGGAGGCATCTTCTTTTCAGCTATCCATTAGGGTGGCATGAAAAAACTCTCTTCATTTTTATGGGCATGATATCAATACTTTGGGAGCTGAACTTCTGCCAAAACAGCTAATGAGAGTATCAGCAGTTGGGTTGTTGGCAACAGTGTGACAAATGGAGATTATGCTTGACACATTCATTTTTGGATGTTTGCGGATCATAAAAATGTAACAAATGAAGTTTTTAGTACATGTAGTTTTTGTGATCTATGAAGTGCTTGTAGTCTGATAGTCTGGTTGTTCCGTTGACAGTTCTAGTCTAACTTGGTGGTCAATTATCAGCAACTCCTGATAATTGAGGCGTATCCTATATATTTCCTAAGGTTATGACTTGTCAGCCACCATTCACATTTTGTAGACAAACCGATGTTGGATTCTTGCTCACATCAACCTGTAAGGGAATATAGATTTACTTATAAATTAATGGATCGTTAAATGCAAAATCTGCTTTTGCATATCTAGGTTACTAGAACAAGGTGGATAGTCTACAGAACAAATCCCAAGTATAGGTAAGGGAATTCCCATACCATGTAACAGGAAGTAATGCCGCGGATCTCTTCCTTTTACTTTTTTCATACATTAATATGTTGCACTTCACATACTTGATCAGGGTTGCTTATAAAATTTAGATTGTAGAAAACACTTAGCCTATCTTTCTGTTGCAGAAAAATAGGAAGATGAAGAGGTTTCTTTTCTCATTGTAGTTGTCTGGATGCTCTCTCTCTCTCTCTCT